GACAGACTTGGAAACAGGAGCAAAACGAAATAGAAGCAGGAAGTCGCTCTAACAAAGACGTTTTCTTCTCCTGGAGAAATACTCATCGTAAAGTTCCAAAGCTGGAGGGCTAGAGACGACCCTGAAGCGTGAGGAGCAGGAGAGAGGGACCCAGAGGGCCCACAAGGTGAGGGCGGGGCTGGAGTGCGGTGGGTTTGTGAGGCGGGGAGGGGGCTTTCCAGGTCCCACACAAACCTGTTGTGACCCTACAGCCGACTCTCAGTCAAGCAGGAGGGCAAAGCAGTCACTTCAGATCCAGGAGGACTCAGAAGGTTTCTCTGCCAAGCACCCCTTCCGGAGGAGGAAGACGTGTCCACAGGGACGACGGACTGGACGTGGGAGCCTGAGGAGAGCACGCCTGCTCACGGGGCGGACAGGCCTGAGCAGAGCGCGAAGCCGCCGGGCCGCAGGGGGAACGCGGTCAGGATGCGTGGACAGAGCGCGAGCGGGAAGGAGCCGAGGTGTTTACCATGTCAGAGGGCAGCAGCCGGGCTCCTCTTGACAGAACGAGGCGGCTGGAAACAGCAAAGCAAAAGCTGGAGGGAATCGGGGCCCAGACTGAGCAGGCCACTGGGGCCCGCAGCTGCCCCTCGGTGGGAGGCAGGAGGCAGGAAGAGCCTTGACCTTGGTGCTGGGAGCCGCTCTGGGAGGGAGTAGGGCAGAGCGCCACCTGGCTCCTGCGGTGGCGAGCACATTCCTTTCGCGGTGCCAGTGCCAGTGGGTAATTCTGGAATCAACCTGCGCACACAGCACCAAGGCCACTCCAGGTTCCAGAAGAGAAGCTGCATGTTAGCAACAGGGTGAGAGGCGATCGTGTTCAAGGGGAGGAAGAGCTGACAGCGGTGTGAGGGCGGGGTAAAGGGGGAGGCTCCCCTCCGCCTCCTCTTACACAGGGGGCGAGAGGCAGAGTGAAAGACCACAGACAAAACACACTCGTCAATGTGTCTGTGAAAGTTTCCAAGATGAAAATTAAATGAACCAACATTCGTGATAATCCATCAAAAATGAACAGGGAGAGGGCGAAGGAAGGGATGATGTAAGAGGAGGAGGTCAGGAGCCATCTCTGACTTTGATGAAATCACCAGCAGGACAAGAACATGAACACACACTTGGCAGCACCGATCAGAAGATCAAAACCCAGAAAAATCAATTACGAGTGGTGGCTTCTGGGGGGTGGGTCTGGGTACGGAGAGACATGGGGCATACCAGCTCCTAAACACTTGCTTAAAAAACACAGCTCGGTACTACTGCATTTTTTAAATGAAAAATAAAACTGTCAGCCTGTGGTCAGACAGAAGATGCTTCTAGCCAACGCGCAATTAGAACCAAGAAGACATTTATTCACACTGACTTTGAAGCAGTCTCCTGACATTAACCACACAATTTCTAAATCGCTTCTTCATTCCACACTTAGTTACCTTAAATCACAGCATTGGTTCCCTCTTGGTTCAAAAAATCATCTAAGAACTAGAAAAAAAAAGCAGATTTGGATCTCATATCTCTAGTGAAGTTCTGCTCTGAGATGAGAAAAAAAAGTCCAACATTTTAACAAAGGCATTTTCCTCTGCTTAAACTTATCAGTGTGACACCAGATCTTCAGTTCAAGCCTTCATTCCCACACTGCCCAGGAGGGGAAAAAAATTCCACATACAAAATGCTTGATTTCATTTAACAGCAGGAAAAACAAACCGGTGGCTGGAGAGCTGCAGGTGTGGGTGACGCCTAGTCTCCGGGCTGGCATCTGGAGGACCCTGGAAAACCTTAGCCAGGACAGGAAAGGAACAGCTGGTCCTCGGCAACGACCATAGCCCCCTGCACCCTGAGATTCGAGGTTCGGGGAAAGCGTCACATGCCCCTGGGAAAGGCATCTATCTGCCCAGGTCCTGGCTTCCCTGTGTAGCCACGAGGGTTAAACTGCAAAAGATCTGCAGATGGGCCAGATGGCCCAGCAACAAACAACTCCTCCCTCCCCCGACTGCCACGTGCTGCAGCCACGCTTCTGTGCCAGGAAGGCAGCTAAGCCCTCTTCCCTGAAAAGAATGGCAACTCGGGAGGCACGAAGCAGGGCACCCGGAGGCCTCCGGAATCCACGCCTGTAAAGGTTAACTTTACAAGGTGTTGTGCTTACAGCGCGGGGACCAGCCCAGGAGTGGCCTCTCGCCATGCCCTCGCAGGGTTCCAATTTTTTGAAGGGCATTAAAGAGCCTCCAACCACAAGGGGCCATTGTGTTCGGCTGTGAATAGAAAAGCCACACAAGGGAAGCTGCTATTTATTTCTTTATTTAAATGTTGCTCTGCAGATTTTACCCGGCAGAAGCCAGAAGCGGCAGAAGCCAGAGGCGGCAGAAGCCCAGAGCTGCGGCGGCTCCATCCAGCGCATACAAAGGAGGCTGTCTTAAAGGGACAGCGCCCTCCTTCCAGGCGGGGGCGGGTGTATGAGCACAGGGCCCAGCTCCTTGCTCCCCAGCAGCCGCAGGCAGGTGCCCAGAGACCTGCCATGAAGTTCAACCGCAAAGACAGTTCTTCTGACGGCAGTTTCTGCTCAACAGGAACACGGGCAGTGGCAGCCAAGAGGCCAGCACTGTCTGTCCGACATCCCCGGGGCCAACAGAGATACAAGTGCTGGAGGGCCCAGACGTAGCTCCCGGAGGTCCTCCAGCTACACCAGGTCCCTCTGCCTAGCTTTAAAATATACCATTTGCCTTATTTTTTCCACCATAATCATCAACCATCATCCTTTTTATATATAGCTCCTGCATTTCAGTGGATAAGAAGGGTCCAAATTTAAACCAGCACAGCAGGGAAACACTTTAAAAAGTGAGGCCAAGAGCCCAGAAAGTCCTCAGTCCCCCCAACGTGAGGAGAAGGCAGACAGTCCAGTCCCCACACAGCCTAGGAGGGCGCCGGGGTGCAGACATGCTCCCAGCCCTCCAGAGCGTGCGCCAGGTGCTAAGCAAGGCCGAATCCTTTCCAAACTGGAGTTTATGAAACTGAAAACAGCCTCAGAAATGGCATCTCCCACCCCCAGCCTGGAGCCACAGCAGCTGGGAAAGCAAAGCGCCGGGCTTCCCTGCACCCTCTCCAGAAACTGCTCCCGGCTCCGAGGGAACAAGAGCCATTGACAAACAGCTCTTCGGTTCAAGAGCTTAAATCTGGGAAGCTGCCCGCGGACGAAAGGCGGTGTGTCCACTGCCTCCAAAGACAAAGGTCAAAGGGCTTGGGAACAGAACTCCCCGTCTGGCGAGTGCTGGTCACACCACACTCAGTCTGTGCAGGTCCTCCCAGTCAGGTCACTCGCTCTGCCCCGTTGCCCCACCGCCATGGGGCTAAGTCTTCTGGCCACCCAGGAGATCCCAGTGCCTTCCAATAGGAAAAAACTCAAAAGACTAGGAAGAACCCAAGCTTTGGAGACATACAAATGCTCAGTAAACTTTCACAAAACTCTCAATTCTATGCTGCCCTTAGAAATACTTGAAGTCAGATCTTCACGAGGGATAAGAAAACAACTGAAATTCACATGGTCTTTAGGAAAAGGCCACACAGAGATATGTGAAACAGACAGCTGCAATGACCAAGGGGCTTCGGTGACAGCCTTACACTTAGAAACAGACCTCAAGACCAGAGGGCACACGAGGACGTGGCAAAGGGGTGTGACTGAACCCTGGTGACACACATACGGCCAACAGCGTGCTGACTGGACCACCTCACACCTTTGCAGACAGTCTGCCCGCTCTGGGAAACAATCCCTTTTCCCTCCTGCTAAGTCAAAACCACAGCAATCCTTTGTAAACTGTAATACCATGTTATTCTGCCTCGAAAAGGAAGGAAATTCTGACACATGCTACAGCATGGAGGAACCTTAAAGACATTACGCTAAGTGAAATAAGCCAATCACAAAAGGACCAATGCTGCAGGATTCCACTTACATGAGAGAAGCCAAATTCGCAGAGACAGAAAAAGGAATGGTAGGTGTCTGGGGCTGGGGGGAGGGGGGTCCGAGTTCAATGGGGACAGAGTTCAGAGTTTCAGTTTTGCAAGACAAAAAAAATTCTGGAGATGGATGGTGGTGATGGCTGCACAACACTGTGAATGTACTTAATGCTTCTGTAACGAACTGTGCACTTAAAATGGTAAATTTTGTGTTATATATTTTACCATAATTAATTAACTAGCAGTACCTTGACTTCCTGATTTCTACTTACCTCAGTCCTTTTCCCAAGAAGCTACGATCTGACTTCCGTGTGAAGCACTATAAAGGAAGCGTCTCACCACCAATTTACAGGCTAAGTGATTTTAAAAGAATTTGGACACAGGAACAGGACCAAAAAGAATTAAACTGGCATGTGGCCTAACTGCCGCTGAACATGGGAGGTGAGAGGCGCCTTCTAGCAAACTGCCAATGTGAATATTTACTCTTCTAGCTTAAATTATTTCCACACAAAAGCCATCCTGCCTCCCCTCTAGAAGTAAGTGTATTTAAAGGCTTTATTACCATATTCTGCTTCTTTAAGGAAAACTTTGTTCCCACCTCAGTCCTAGAGACCAACCTCTCACCTAACCACTTACCTAACAGCTCAGGCCTCTCACTAGCTGAGACAAGACAGCGCCCGGGATGGAGCAGGTGTGGGGGGTACATCTGCGCGGGGTGTCACCGCCTAGCTGTTCTGCGACCTGGGAGCCCACCGCCTCTCCCTGCCCTGGTTTCCTGAGGCATCAAATGGGCATGTGATGGTCCCTGTCCTTCCCAATCAGAAGATGTGTATTAAACAGCTCCATAAACTGTCTTATGAAAGTAAGGTATTTTATCATTCTGATCTTATACAGGGAACGGGGAGCAACACATTTTACCTAAGGAATCCTAGAACTCAAAGACTTAGTTTGCATAACGTTATGATTCAGCCAGCTAACCAAAGGGAAAGGTGGTCAAATTTCAAGGCAGTAAAAGAAATGAAGTCATGAAATTTTATCCTAAAAGTTTAGTTTAGAAAAATAAAGTTAGCATCTGCTTTCAATAAAAGCTGAAAACTAGAAAACAATCGTTTTAAGAACCCCAACCTTTCCCTAAACCTCTCCGTGACAGCATCTGGCCCCGCTGGAACCTTGCAGTGGTTTCCTTCCCAGCACTCGTACTTCCAACCTCTGTCTCCAGCGCTGTGTTCGAAAGGATCGTAGGAGCTGAAGGCAGAGCTGGAACCAGCTCAGGAAGGAGAACCAGTTTCTACCTCTGGCTCCTTAATTCACGGCAGAGCCCTGCACTCTGAGAGCCTGGGGAGTCCCTGCCCAGACAAACACCAACATCTGTCCCCCCCTAAGTGGAGCACTGCGTGCCCCACGCAGCTGCCATCATGACAACCGCACAGCTGCGCCACCACGCCCCTTTCTTCCAAAACAGAGGCTGGGGCGGGGAAGGGGGAAGAAGGTATTTGTATGCTGGCCCTTTGTAAAACCCTGAAGATTTCTGCAGACCAAAACACTCTCCTTCAGTCTGACGGCTGGGACAGATCCCCGGCATCAAAATAAAATGTGGGACTCCAGCCCCTCCTCCACGTGTATTGTTGGAAAGACGGGTGCCCATACCCGGAAAGGTTCCCAAGTTCTTAATGAGCCAAATAAAAATGCCTGGGGTGGGATCTCCCTGGACTTGGCCCTCTGCTTTCTGCTGCCCTTTTTCTAATCTCACTGAAGCAGGACCACAGAAACTGGTTATTAGCTTGTTCGTCAATCTCAGGCCTAGAAGAAACCACATTGAAGCCTTAAACATCTATTTGAAGGAGCTACTGGAAGAATCCTAGGAGAGAGCAGAAGGCGAAACCACAAGACAGACGTGCAGAGAGAGACCCAGCCGCTGCACACCCCGAGCTGCTGCCGGCTTCTGGGTGGGAGAGGCAGGCAGGGAGCAGAAAGAGGGGAGTCTGCAGCTACATGAAGCTCGCCCGCGCCGCCCACCGACCTCTTACCCAGCGCGAGTCCCCTCTCCGGCCGCCCCAGGATCCTGGCAGCCCCGGGGCAGCACCGTCAAAGCCGGGGC